GTTGCAGCTTAGCAAACACTGTAAGAACCTGTTGTTTATCACTCAGTCAGCTCGTTTTTTTAAACACTTCAGCTTCAAAGTCGACGGTGAAGACTGGCGTCGTACCAGTGTAGTACTAGTACTCTGAGCACGCTTGTTTCTCTGATGTTTTTTTTTTTTTACGAGGTGACGAAATATGGCCCGGTGTTTGGCCACTCGGTGAACCTTTTGGCCACCTGGTGGTGTGTCAGATGTCTGGAGGGGGAACGGTTCAGACACGCCGTTCACGGAGCGTCCTGCGCTGCTCTCTGCAGAAACCAGCTGGTTGCTGCAATTCCTGCGCTCGTCTGCTCGTGGTGTTTAAAGGGTTAGTTCAGGAATTTCAAAAAAGCATGACCTTCAGCATTTGTTTATTGGGCCATAGGAAATACAAGGGTCAAAAAGTTAGTCGAAAAGTTCTAAGACTGATTCTCCCTCAAAGTAAAGTTGACTTATGTTAATGACTAAAACCAGTTCAGACTGGTCTCTGTGTCTCCAACAACTTTATCGAGTGTTTGCTTTGATTTCATCTTCAACGCGTCACATTTTTATTAAGTCTTTGTAACAAATTTTGAGCAAAACTGAAAGAATATTTGAGTATCATTATTTTTTCACGTTTTTTTGTCTTAGAAATTTTGCCAATAATTAGAATGCTTTCAGCCTATATGTTAAACACTGGTTAATATCTCCAGGAGGTGGCGGTAGTGCAGCAGTTTTTACAGGTCAAAGCAGAAGAAATGTGCAGAGATTAATTTAAATTTCAGGTTAATGCAGGAGAGAATGTAGAGCAGGGATTTTAAATATGCAGTTTATGTATCAATAGGTGGCGTAACTCCAAAACCAAAGAGCTTTAGTCTGTTCTACTGTAGAAAATCATACATTTTCTCAGTAAAAATGCCGACAGTTTAATGGTCCAGATCAAACGGTGTTACTGTAGAGAACTGTTTGTCTGAATCACAGAGCTGAGCCGTGATTTACCAGATAAAATCAACACAAAAATATCCAGATGGTTAGTCAACAGTCCTGTACCACCAGTCAGCTCTGAGCCTGCAGTACCCATCACTGCCACAGGGGCGTCTTCATGCCTCTCCCCCAACCCCCAGTCCAGCTTTTTCCAGATGGGTGTCCTGGAGTTAAACTTGCAACCTTCCAGTCCTCTGACCTGTGGCCACCTGGTACCTGTCAGTGACCGCTGGTCTCCAATGAAGAGATAGGAAACAACGATGTTTCAGATTTATATGTACGTATATATGAATACGATGTATTGCGATACTACAGGCACAACCATATCTTGGAACAGAGGGATCTACATTTGGAATCACTAGAGAAGAAAGAAAAGAAAATGAACCAGGAACACCAGGAATATTTGACTGGTTCTAACATTAACAACTCAGTGACCTCACAGTTTGGTCCTCGTCCAACCGGCAGTGTCTGGATTCCAGGTGAGGGAGAGTCCCTCTGCTCTCCCTCCAGGTCTGGTAAAAGTCAGGTGAATGATTAGTCAGAGTGGAGAGAGGCTGAGCTGAGAGTTCACTACAGTGACGTAGGTGTGTGTGTGTGTGTGTGTGT